TCGTCTCTCTCTCTCTCTCTCTCTCTCTCTCTCTCTCTCTCTCATAGGTGCGACAGGGCCCCTACCCTTCTGTCTCCTCTCTCTCTAAGGTAGGGCAGTGCCCTACCCCCTCTCTCCCCCTTCCTCTCTCTCTCTCTCACTCGCGCAGGGACGACATGGCCCGTAACATTCTCTCTACACCATGATTCTCAAAAATATGACAAAAAATTAAAATATTCTATCATGGCAAAAATATTGAGAATCATGGTAATATTTTCAGGAAATTTAATTTTCAATTAAAGTTTCAGTAAATTTAGTTTTACAATTAAATTTTAATAAAATTTTATCATGGTAAAAATATTGAGAATTATTGAAACTTTTTCAAGTAAGTCTCAGGAATTTTAATTTTAACCATTAATTTTCCAGGAAATTTAATTTGGACCATTAAATTTTCAGAAAAAATTATTTTTACTATTAAATTTTAAGGAAATTTAAATTTTACCATTAAATTTTTGTAAGATTCTATCATGGTAAAAATATTGAGAATTATGGAAAATTTTAAGGTAATTCCCAGAATTTTAAGTTTAACCATTAATTTTTCAAGAAATTTAATTTTTACCATTAAATTTTCCAAAATTTTTGTCATGGTAAAAATGTTGGGGGTATTACAATCCTATAGATGAGGAGGAGCTCAATAAATGAGGAGTTGAGGCTTAGATGGAACGGACTAAGATTGCCAATCTATAGGATGTGCACAATAGACAAATGGACTTCAAGAGATATATCGTAGACTAGTAGGTGCATCCTCTAATTACCACCCTAAAAAACATGTAGTGTTGGGTATGGGACAATGTGGGCTTTCGTTTCGTAGGTCCACATCTACTATGCATAGGTGTAGTTTTTCTTGTCGTCCTTCTTTTAGTCGGCCATCTACTATTCGCCAGCCTAAACCCGAAATCCTGAAATAATGCCACTGCATCCCTGCGAACCGTCTAGACTCTGCCCTCACAGACCGGAATACCATCATGCCAAATTAAAATATTCATGGGGAGAGAAACTCACCAATGGAGCCATGCAACTTGTAGGGCTCCTTTTTAACCAACTGAGCACCGCAGTAACTGGCCGAGTTTAAGAAAATGCGGCCAGGTAGTTAATAAACCGCCTGAGTAGAAGGTCTACTGAGGCTGCTCAGGTAGGAGGTCCAACTCTTGGCGGTTAGACCTCCATAACCAGGCAAGCTGAGGTAACACGACCGGGTCTGATTCGACCCGACCAGTGTTGTGAACGGTGATTCAATGTCATATAATGCCTTATACGTTAAATGAATCACTACATGTGCAAAGGAAGGTATACACTAACCTCACTCCTTTTTTCCTTGTTTATATTTTTTCTCTTTTTTTTTTTTTGGCTTTTTGTTTTTGTTGGAGTGGGGGGTGGGGTTTGGAGGTGGGAGGGGTTCAGGGTAAACTCTACGGCACACAACATATGTAGGTTGGCTTCAAGTAAGCGATTTTATGGCCACCCCCCCTTTCATGTTTTGCTTTTCATGCATTGCATTATCCAATCGAATGGATGATTAATAAACAAAAATTGCAATAATACCATGATAGTGTAAAAACAAGTGATCAATTAGTCAATTGGTAATTAAAAGAAGAGATAACAACACCTTCAAAACAAAGGTGCTACCTATTTCAATATTAATATTCTCTTAGGGAGCCAATTGCATCTGCAACTTGTATAAAGGATGTAAAGGTCAGCAGATCCCCCAAATGGGTAGCATCTTATCATGAAAAAGGAAAGGCTTCAATAACTAATTTTCCTACATGAAAAATTAAACCACCATAAAACTTTTGTCAGTACAAATTTCTCAGAATGGAAGGCCAGAATGTTGTGTTATGCAATCTTACCAATAAAAAAAAGAAAGAAATATGCAATCTTAACCCTTCATGAAACGAAATAAAAGTAGCAACTATCAGATCTAGTGTTCAACCAAGGCATTTTCAGATCACCAATATAATATATAACTATGTTCAGAAACAAGGGGGAGCAGCAAAGACAGTTCATATCTGTACTAATAATGTGTTCAAGGAAAGCAAGTTTTGTCATCCACGATTGACCAAGTTTAAAGCATTCAGGCAAACAAAGAGACTATCCAACTGTCTTCCTCCTCTCTACAGTTTGACTAACAAATTCTTTGCATTCTCCTTAGCACAAAGAAGGTCTCCATGGAGACTTCTAAATCTGAGCCATTACAGAAAAGGAATACCAAATTTAGAAAGTAGAACCATTCCATCCAAAGTTGGAACCCTGCAAAATTCAAATAGAGGAAAACATCAGCCAGTTCCAGTCATATCATAAAGAAAGTAAATCAGCATCCCGAAACCAATACACAGAGAGGGGATCCAATAGAATATTAAAACCCTTTTGTGTGGATCTATCAAAGGCCCAAAGCCCAAATTCAATAAGCTAAGCACTTCCCAGAAACAATGAAATAAAAAATAAAAACTTTTGGCAGTCAAGGGCTAATTACATGATCTATAGCTGGTGTAAAGCATGCAAACACTGTGCATATTCTTGGCTCTGATGGGCCTAACAAAAAGGAGAAATACAATAAGAAGAAACAGAAGGGTTTTAAAGAAGTGGAGGCAAAGTCGATGAAGGCTTGCCTTTGTGTCATAAAATTTTAGGAAGAAGCGAGACTTTGGAACCGATAACTTGGTTTCAAGAATTGTGGCAATGGCAGCACTCAGCTTCTTGTTAACATCAGGGTTCAGGCCCCCAATGGATACCAGCTCCCCATAAGCAGCAGGTTGTTCAGTTCCTCCAAACGACATGGGTACCGATCCTTTGAGCACTATCATCACATACTGTTCCGAAAATATTAAAAGAAAAGCAATGCAGTAAATTTTAACTCATGGGTATAACGATAATTTCCCTAGAAACCACCAATTCTATAGCAACTTTCGAGGAAATGGAAAATTTACGAGAAATGGTATTTTTTAATTCTCAATATTGTTCGATAAATACAAATAGAGAACATTTACCATACAAATAGAGAACATTTACCCTTAAATGGAGCAATACAAAATAACTTGGAAACAGATCATTAGTCAATAGAATCAGCAAATTTTTCAAAAAATCACTGAATTTTGGAATTGAAAGCCTAAACAAGTTAAACAATAAAAAACCCAACATATTGGAAGAGCAATTCTCTGCAACAATTTCCTAACTCTTTTTACAAAGATTTCCAGTTATAAACTACAGGAAAATGCAAGCACTGAAACCTTATGACAGGATTAGAAATCATAAAGCTTATTCTTTTCTGAAAATAATATTTCCCATAAAATGTCACCTAATTTCCTTCAAAATATAGCATTCCCAGTATTTCACTATTTACTACACTCACCCCGTTTCTTTGCTGAATTGCTCCCTTTCAGTTTTGGGTGAGGTTTGTATAAGGTGCCCACCTTAAACTATGCAAGTAAGGCACACCATTAAATTTTATCGGAAGGTGTGGTTCCTGATGTTGGAAACCTTATGTGGATTTGAAAATTCATGTTCAACCTTATGAAATTTAAAATTCCAAAAAACAGTGTAGATTGAGGAGATATATAAACATTTGAAAATCTTGAAATTAGACAGTCCAGATAACTTGTTAGAATATGTACTATTTTTAGGATTTGAAATACTTTTTTCATTATATCCACACACCTCGAGATCGATATGATCAATCGGAAGGTTTTCCAACTCAAAAATATATATTTTTTACTAAATTTTGAGATCACCTTAATTCTACAGTACAAGGTTGCAACCTTATAAAAACTGTTCCCATCATTTTTCCCCCATTCTTTTTGAAAAACTTGCTCAAGTTTATGAGCTCACTCATTGTTGCATAAATGCATTGGTACTGTCATTCCATATCTAAAAATTGCTTCACCAATAACAATAAAAAAGGGAAAATTAAGAACTATCACATTTCTGCATACATGCAATGGTTCTATTATACAAAGCCTAAAAACTAATGTTTTAAAACTTGGATCTGATCTAGACCTGGAATAGGCCAGGACCGAACCGGTTCAAAGAAGAAATTTGTCCCGGCCCAGCTCCCCTCGAAAACCCCTCATTTTATTTTTTTTCCCTTTTTTTAAGCATATCTAATGTTTTGTTATGTAATCCCCACCCCATAAACTTTATTTTAATTTTAATTTTTTTATTTTATTTTTTAATATGTTTCTTGATTGCCAATTTGGACTGATCCAAACCGATCAGGATTGCCAATCTATTACCAACACAAATATGTGAGGTGGATGATCCACCCCATCGATCTGGGTTTTGAAACCTTCTTAAAACTAATTCACTTTTTTCAAGGGAAAAATGAAAAATGCAGGGTTATCAAGAGGGAAAAAACCAATAAATTATGATGAAAACCACACCCTAAGTAGCAGTCATAAACATAAAATAATCAGCAAAACCACTAATTTAGTTCCTAATGAGTTGCATAAAAACCTACAAATTAATAGTTCCAGAGAGCACATAAAAAATATAATGAAAAATAACCAAAAACCGATAAACAACGCGTATTTCCAATTAAAGGACCATCATCTTGGAATCGTTGTATGACATGTCCATATATATTCGTATGGTCCCCTAACCTGTCAAGCACCTTCACGGCTGCAACTTTCTACTTTGCTCTTCTACCTAATCTTTCCCCCTCATCCATCCTGAATAACCATGCCGGTGCCTCAGAAGGTTCAGGCCTTAATTTGGCTCCTCCTCTCGGAAAAAACTGTACCTTAGACCAGCTACAAAGGTGTGGTCTGCCTCCTGGAAGAGGAAACTAACCCCCACCTCTTCATTCATTGTGAAGCAGCTTCAATTCTTTGGTCCTTCCTTCTTAAACTTTGTGGCATTCAGTGCGCCACCCCCGCCCCCCTCTAGAAAGCCTCTTCTCTACCCTCCTTTCCCTGCTTTTTCCTCGGCAGAAAGCTCTAGCAACTTTCTGTGGTAGCATCCCTTCAGAGAATATGGCTGGATAGAAATTCTAGGACCTTTAGGGGAAGGCCCCTTCTATCTTTGACTCAGTACTAGGCGCCCAAAAAAAGTGGAGGTTCCTGGGTCGCCGCCTAGGCGCCCAAAAACCTATTGGGGGGTTTTGTAGAAGATTTTGATTCCTTATAAGCATCTATAAGGTGGAAGTTTGGAGATTGAGCAATCAAAGTAAGTGATTTGTTTATTACTTGTATAAGTTGTATTATTTTGAGATGTCTCTTCCGGATCTAATAGGAGTGGTGATCCCGGTTGGAAATATGGCTACAACCCAGATCCTAATGATAAAAATTGTATAAGATACAAGTTTTGTGAGAAGGATACAAAATGGGGCATAAACCGGTTCAAGAAACAGCTTGCCGATATCAGGGGGGATGTTACCCCATATAAAAAGACTCCTGATGCTGTTAAAAAGGAAATAACCAATTTTTTTAGTATGGTAAAAATGAAAAAAGATGAGAAATTTGCCTCCATAGCAGAGGTTAGGTCTGGGCTTCGGGTCAATTATGATGATGATGATAGTGATGAGGATGGGATTGGGGAGGGATGTCAAGAGGTAGAACAATCCATTATTAAGGGGGGAAGGGAAAGAGAGTGGTAATCGCTTCTAGTTCTGAGAGTAAGAAACCTCGGTTAAAGGCCTTATGGATAGTTTTTTACCTCGGCCTGACCCTGAGATTGTAGGAGAGAAAACAAAGAAGCAAACCACCATTGAAAATAAAATAAAGAAGGAAGAGAGAGATAGAGCTGCTTATTATGTCGCTACATGGTTTTATGAGGCAGGCATTCCTTTCAATACCACTCGCCTAAGGAGCTTCTATGCCACAGTAAAGGCAATTGGCCAATTTGGGCCTGGGATGAAACCCCCAACCCCATATGAGCTTTCAGAGTCTCTTTTGAAAAAAGCGGTGAGTGTCACGAAAGAAGCTGTAGAAGTTAAGAAGGATGCATGGGCTCAGTACGAGGTTTCTATTATGACTGATGCTTGAAGTGATAGGAAGAGAAGAAGTCAGATGAATTTGCTTGTGAAATGTCCTTTAGGGACTGTTTTTTGGGGTCTATTGATGCCTCTGATCATATCCATGATGCCCATTACATATTCCAAGTTATGGAGAAGGGAACCAAGGAGGTTGGGGAGTATCTTGTTGTATAGGTTGCCGCAGACAATACTGCTCCTAATGTTGCTACAGCTAATTTGCTACGCATAGCTTATCCTAGAATATTTTGGACACCATGTGCAACACATTGCTCAAATCCGAGGCCAATTCTGACAGATTTGAGCTCCATTTGAGCATTCATTTTTAATCAAAAGGAGTTTCAATTTGAAAATAATATACCAGATTTCACAGAAGGCTCAAAGACCAATAGACTAATTTCAAGAAAAATAGGTCTTTATACTATGCAGGCACGTCCCGGATCTCATCAGTAAACCAGGCGTGTCCTTCATATTGTTGATAGTGACAAGGCTTCTATGGGCTACATATATGAGGCTATGGAGAAATGCAAAAGAGAGATAGCCCAAAATTTTGATGATGATGAGAACTGCTATAAGCTTATTTGGGAGATTATTAATGAGAAGTGGGATAAACAGCTACATCGACCATTGCATGCAGCTGGTTATTATTTGAACCCAGCTTTTTTTTTATGTTGACAAGGATATATACACAAATGACACAATTATGACTGGATTTAAGAAGTGTGTAGATGTGCTAGTCCCTGATCTTGACATCCAGGATATTACATGCGCTGATGAGCTGATAAATTACAAATGTTCACTAAAGTCTTTTAGGAGTCCAATCGATGAGGCAAATGACCAAAATTGATCCAGGTAGTAATAATATTCTTAAGTTCATCAAGTTCAAATAATCAAATTTCATTTTTATAATTCTATTATTTATTTAGGATTTTATTCTATAGCTTTGCAGCCAATTGGTGGAGCCAACAAAGGTGTAGTTCTCCAAATTTACAAAAGTTGGCCATTCGGATCTTAAACCTAACCACTTCCTCATCCGGTTGTGGGCGGTATTAGAGTACTTTTGAAGGGGCAAAGCCGTAAGGGTAATTTGTAAAATTGTATTAATAATACATGAACCATAGATTTTAATTAATTTCATTTGATTTTGTTAGATTCATACAAAGAGATGGACTGGGCTTGAATCTAAGAGGCTCAATGACCTAGTCTATGTCAAGTATAATCGATACAGGTTTGCTAAGAGAGATAAGAGAGACCCCATTAACCCCATCAGATCAAAAAATATGGATAATGCTATGGAATGGTTAGTTGATGATGATGAGGTCGAGGAGCATGAAAGATTGATATGGGACATGATCATAGATGCTTCAGGGACATTAGTTGACCCTCTTAGAGCCACTAGATCTTCTGCACAAAGCACGAGGGTGGAAGAAGAGGCAGATTCAGAAAAGACGGAGGAGGACAACCAATATGTCTAGAAGGGTGACGACTCCGATGGCGATTAATATGATACAAATGCAGTTGACCCTAGTTTTTCTGATGATGATTGATGAATGATGAATGTTGGATAATGATTAAACATTGAACATTGATTGAACTATTAAAGATTCTTTTGAGTCTTCAAGTATTACTTTTATTTTTGTTTTCTTCCTCTGGGTTGTGTATTGTAGTCTTGTGGATAGTGGATTGGTAGTTCCACTGGTTCGTATTTAGTAACTTTGATTTGGTAATTTGGTTGGTAAATTTTAAGTTTTAATTGGATATGGACTGACACCGACTTATGGTTATGCTTATAGAGTGTGTGCTAATGTGTAGTATACTTTGAATTTTGATGTACCCTAAATACTTAATTCTTATATTTTATACAATATATAACTGTAAAATACTTTTTGGATTCAAATGGGACGCCCAAATTCTGGGCGCCCGCTTAAACGTTGGGCCGCTTAAGAGCCTAACGCTTTTTGAAAGTGACTCTTCCCCCGTTCATTCCTCCCTCTCACCTAACCTCCTACACCTCCAACCACTTCTTCTCTCTCGCATCCTTACCCCTCTTCTCCTCACTCTCTTTCTCTCTCTTGTTTCTCTTCTTCCCCTCACACTCATCTCTCCTCCCTCACCACCCGTCTGCTGATTGCTCTTTGTTCACACATCTTAATGGACATGCCTCACTGCAGCTTTTATCATGAGAAGAGCTTGCTTCGCCCAAGTTGCTACCCCAATTAGACGGTGCTGCTACCTTATATCGCGAGAAGACCCTGCTTCGCCCAAGTTGTTGCCCCTTTGAATAAGCACGCCTTTAATTATGCCTCTTACGCAATTCAGTTTCTGGTTTTTTAAGTTTATCTTTATTTTATGAGATAATATATTATGAGACCATTCATTTTTGGTACAAGGAGGTCACAATCATTTTTAATCATTGAATATAAAATCCAATAGATAAAGAATTCAAAAACGACATGTCCATATATCAAGGATTCAAAAAAGGACCCGCCTGACGCCTGGGACCCTAAGCACTACACACTAGGCCCAGGCAGCCCACGACCATGGGCCTTTTTTTGTATTTTCTAGTTGCCCAAAAAGAAAAAGGAGCTCATTTTGACACCCTAGATAGTATAAATAAGTTATGGAGGTTATTTTTAACCCCCAAACTTAAAAAAATACCCTCAATCTCTTTGCTATATATATTTTTGAGAATCGAAAGTATTTTTTTTGAATTACAAAAAGTTTCCTAAACTTTTATTTTCTCATTAGAATTATTTTTAGGGTGCTATTGGAGGTATTAAAAGACTTTTGAGTTGATCAGTAGCTCGATTGAGGTAACAAACATCGAATACCAGAGATTGGGCAAAAAAAGGTTGTTTATAATCTTTATTTGAGTTTTATTTTTTCGATTTAAGATATCTTCTACGGGGTCTTTTAAGGGTGGGGATCCGGGATGGAAGTATTGTATTAACTCGGACAAGAATGATAGGAATAAAACTATGTGCAATTTCTATGGACATGTTTCTAATGCCGGCAAAAATAGATTTAAAAAACATCTTGCCGGTATTAGAAGTGATGTTTCCCCGTGTAAGAAAGTCCTAGAGCTTGTAAGGAAAAAAAATTTCTGAGTACATTGAAGGTGAAAAGAATATAAAAAAAATCAAAAGAAAAGGATATAACAGAATTGAGGGCAAGGGTTCATGTTTTTTATGATGATATTGGCATTGAAGAGGATGAAGGGGGAGAAAATGAGGTAGCCATTGTTGGTATTCAGAGCTCTAAGAGTAAGAGGGGTTTTGGGTCCAAGAAACCTCGTATGAAAGGGTTTATTGATAGTTTTTTTACACCTAGCCCCGAGACAGTAATTGAGAAAGGGAAGGCAAAGGGGAAAAAACAAGTGACACTTAAAAATAGATTTAAGAAGGAAGACAGAGGCCGGCTAATTCAGTATATTGCTCAGTAGTTTTACCATGCGGGCATTTCTTTTAACACCGCTCGCTTGGATAGCTTCCACACAATATTGGAAGCAACTGGGCAATTTGGACGAGGTTTGAAAGGCCCAACTCCATATGAGATTGGTGAGCCACTATTGAATTAAGAAGTTGAGCATACTAAGGAATATCTCTAAGACCCATAAGGAGGGGTGGGTAGAATTTGGGATTTCTTTAATGACTGATATGTGGAGTGATAGGAGGAAGAGTACCATAAATTTATTGGCAAATTGTCCCTTAGGTACAATTTTTTTGCGATCTATTGGTGCTTCTGATGATATTCACTGCTTCTGATGATATTCATAATGCTCATTATATATTTTCTTTCATTGATAAGGGCATTGAGGAGGTTGGGGAGGATCTTGTAATTCAAGTGGTCACAAATAATGCTGCTCGCAATCTAGTTGAAGGTCATTTGCTTCAACATAAGAAGCCTTGCATATTTTGGACCCCTTTCGCTACACATTGCATAGATCTTATGCTTGAGGCCATTGGTGAGTTGACTACTATTAAAGGAGTTCTTTCTAAGGCTAAGGATGTTACAGTCTTCATGTATAGTCACACACTTACCTTTAGCATGATGCACAAGTTTACAAAGAAGAGAGAGCTAGTGAGGCCTGCTCTCAATCTAGTTGCATGTCATTTGCTTCGACAGAAGAGGCCTCATATATTTTGGACTCCTTACATTGCACATTGCATAAATCTTATATTTGAGGCCATTGGTGAGTTGACTACTATTAAATGAGTTCTTTCTAAGGCTAAGGAGGTTACAATCTTTATATACAGTCACACACTTATCTTTAGCATGATGCGCAAGTTTACAAAGAAAAGAAAGCTAGTGAGGCCCAGGGTCACTAGATTTGCCAGTGCCTACCTTAATCTATAGAGCATTCATAGAAGGAAGATCCCATTGAGGTCTAGTTTGCTTCGGAGGAGTGGAGTTGGTGTAAGTAGCTTAGAGATGCCAAGGGAAAGAAGGCACGGGATATTGTTCTTGCTATATATTTTTGGCATGGGGTAAAGTATGCGATAGTAGTATTTCTTCCCTTGGTGAAGGTCTTGCGCTTGGTTGATGTTGATAAGCCCTCAATAGGCTTTATATATGATACACTTGAAAGGGCTAAGAAGGAGAATGTAGAGAATTTGGGCAATGATGAGGCCAAATACAGCCCAATTTTGGAGATTATAGATATTAAGTGGGATAGGCAGCTCCGTAGACCATTGCATGCAATGGGGTATTACTTGAACCCCAAATTTTGTTATGCAGATGCTTATATTGAGGCAAAAGCTACAATTATGGATGGTTTTAATGAGTTCCTTGAGAAATTAGTTCCCAATCCACATATCCAAGATAAGATATCAATTGAAGAGCTCATTTCATACAAGTGTGCTTTGATGTCATTCGGGAAAAGATATGGCACTAAGACAGAGAAACAAGGATGAACCAGGTAATATATTTTATACTTTTGTTTTATAATTTTCTTTCAACTTTCAAGTTCCTAAAATTATGTATGATAAAGTTAAATACCTAAATTAATTATAAAGGCTGCCCACATATTACAGCCCAATGGTGGAGACAACATGGGAGTAGTGCTCTACACCTCTAGAAGATGGCTATTCGAATATTGAGTTTGACAATTACCTCTTCTGGTTGTGAGCGCAATTGGAGTTCGTTTGAGATGATATTTTACTATTTTATATGTTTTTCTTGTTCACAAGTTCATTTTTCTAATATAAATTCATAGAAGGTAAGAAGATCATAGTAGTCTACTACTCATGCATTTTTCCTTAGATGTGCATACAAAGAGAAGAAATAGGCTTGAGCAAAGGAAGCTCAATGACTTGGTTCTTGTTAAAGAGAATCAGAGGCTGAAGGAGAAGTTTAACCAGCCAAAGAAAGATCCCATCGCTTCGAAAGATGTGGAGAATGCTTCAGATTGGCTAGTTGATGATGGTGACCCTCCTACTGAGGAGGTCTTCCCCAGGGAGGGTTTGACATGGAAAATGGTCGAGGAGGCTTCGAGATGACCTTCTGACCCTAGGAGAGCCACTCGAGCAACTATTTCTGATGATACTTCACACTCGAGATAGAGGAAGAAGGATGCAAATTTAGAAGAATCTATGAAAGAAGAGAAATATGTTGAAGAGAGTGATGATTCTGATGATGATGATCTCGATTCCGATGCAGATGCAAGCAATGACGATGATGACTCTGATTCTTATTGATGTCCTCTCTCATATTTTGTAGTATCTTTATTGCACCATCTTTGTTTGGCCTTTAGTCATTTGAATTTTAGATGTTAGCTAGACATTTTTTTTACTTTTTTAGACTATTTTGTTGTGTAGCTTTATACTTTTGTAAGTAACTTTGTTGAAGACTTGGAGACTTGGATGTTAGAGTTGGAGACTTGGATATTAGACTTGGATGTTATAATGGTTTATGGATATGGAATATGGAGAATTAGAGAGTTGGAGAATATCAAACTATTACTCTTACATAGCCCTATTAGACTTTTAAATGTATTGTATGGTTTGAATTTTGAAAATTTGAACAAGTTTATTCTCAACATGTAATCTGTCGTATATATATCTCAATATGTGATATGTCATATGTTTGCATATAAAAAAATATCTTATAATATTTTCAATTGCCACAACTTAAAAAATTGACATATATGTGCGTCTTGTGAGGCCTTTTTTTTTAAACCTTGCCATATAGATGGAGATGTAGTTACCAGTTAGGTCAAAGTTCCAAAGAACTGAAATGGAGAAATGTGTGTGAGAGAGATGAATCGTGGAAGTAGGGGAAATCATGACAGATAAGTAATTATGAAAATAGAAAGAGAGGAAGTGGGGAAATACGGAGAGAGGAAGAGATGAAATGGGGAGATGGGCAAGCAGAGAGAGAAACAGAGATGAAACAAGGAATTGACACAGAGAGAGATGAAATGGGCAATCAGAGAGAGACAGAGGACGGAATGGGGCAATGCAAGAAAGGGAGATAAAATGGGTAAATGTGGGTTTTTGTGTATGAGAGAGAGAGAGGGAGAGAGAGGGGTCAGCGGCCTAGCCACTGTCCCGAGGAGAGAGAAGAGAGAGAGAAAGAGAGAGAGAGAGAGAGAGAGAGAGAGAGAGAGAGG